CATTTTTCTTTCATATCTGACACTTTCCTTGATAATGTTCTTATGGAAATAATGTAGACTTTTAATCCTAGCATGTTTCCAATTCTTAATTTCCACATGGTATTCATAAAGTACTACCTATACAGGAAGCCCGAGCTGCTGGCTGCTGCAAATCTGTTGAGGCGGAAAGATACATTGAACAGAAGATAAAAAAGGAAACAGAGGAAAATGCCCGTAGAGTAAAGGAGGGTTTCCAGGCTGTTTCCAGTGGCAAATCCTTGCAAAGATTAAGTCAGAAAGGAGACGATATGAGTCCGTGTGGGAGTATCAGGAGCCCTAGTGTACCAGATTCTGAGGGAAACTATCTTTCACCAACCACCAAGGGAATCGCCCTTTCTAATTTCTCAGAGAATTGGGATGTCACTGGATTTTTAGGAGCTGATTTACTCTCTGACTCTGTAAGAATAACCTTCTGTATCTTTGTATTGTTGGCTGCCTTAGGATGTCCAGGAGGGCTGGCATTTCACTTCATTCGTTCTCTGCTACTGTATTTTTATACTTAAAACTATATTATCATTTTTTACCATGCTTTTACAATGATGTGTACATGTAGGAGAAAAAGCTATGTGGGGAGATCAGAATTTTACCAACGCATTATCTCAACATGCTGCAGACCATGTCGATGGGGATTTTAAATGGAAACATAACTAGTAAATCCGATGCACATGGCCTGTTCAATGTCGATGCGAGCAAGGTGGATAAAGTGTATGACATGCTTATGAAGAAGGGTATTCTTCAAACATGAGCATAATCATTTCATTACATGCTCGTTGCCAATAACTTGAAGGGAATCTGTCTGAGATTCTACTATCTGGAAAAGGTAAAAGAAACTTTTGGATTGTTGCGCTCACTCTTTTATCTAGCGATACCTTGGGATCCTTTGTGGAGGATTTGTTGTGAAGTGGTTTTTTACTACCCGTAAATAAGTAGTGTATGGATAGTAAAGATTTAGCAGTAGTATGTTAGGACACTAAGCCGATAGGGTATACAAATGTTAATTTACTCTGCAATTTACCCAAATGTATCACACTTAAAACTCGTCATACATTGGAGCATTGTCTTCTTAAGGTAGCTTGTATGTTTTTTGGTTAGGTTCTGTTGTGAGTGGAGCTTTTAAATCTTCATATAGACTATCTTGTATTACCAGTTTACTGTTGTACTAGTTTATTATGTTATTAATAAAATTAAGTACATCAATATTCTTTTAAGGACTATGGATGCTCCAATGGTCAGTTGGGAAATCATTGATCTTGCTCAATACGATTCAAGAGCAAGCTCGAGTTGGTGTTGCTTGTGTGGAGAAGGGTTTTGAGGAAGAAGTCTAAGATGATATGGATGCTTGTATTAGGAACCACATGAACAGCATGTTTTATTTTCCTTCCGTCCCATAAAGTTAGGCTTGCAAGTTGTTTTCTTTTATCGTTTGTTCCAATTATCCGGTGTATTGTGGTTTGAGGGTGTTAGTTGATTTTTTTATATTTTTTTATTATTTTTTTTGCTGCCCCTATTTGAGCCCCATTTTGGTAAAAACATATATTTTGGAATAGTGATTTTTTGGAGATTGTGTAGTTAAGGAGGACGGAATAATTTTCAGTTTACATGTAAAATTATTTTATGCAAGAATGCATAGTTTAAAATGAGTTTTGAAAAAATGGGGTTCAAACATCGGATTAATGTGTCTTGTTATCAGCATATATGAATTACTTTTATTTAAATTATTATTTAACGTAGGGTATATGAGGACAAATATAAATATATTTTAAATTTTAAATTATATTAATTATATATATATTTTTAAATTTGTGTGAAAATAGTAGCGAGTTTATTTTTATGGGATGGAGAGGTTACAAAGTATTAGATCCTATTAATATTGAAT